GTGTTCAACCACGAATACTCCTTTCTCAATCCATAAACAGGCGAAATTCCCCGCTCTGTCTCGTGATTCAAAGGGCTATCCAGTAGGTTGTTTAATCAATGAGTTATCAAATAAACATTGATTTAACACCTCTATCTTTGTGCCTGGGTCTGTCAACTGCTCAGGCTTGATTTTATGCCACGTTGTCAGAATGTCATTCCAGATCGTTGACCTGGTCTTCTTTTTAGAGAGATCAGTGAGTAGAAGACACGCCCACACATTCACATCTTCCACCAATGACCAGTCTCTCTTCATTACATATTTTGCCAATTGGACCCATTGTTTGTGAATTGTTTGAAAGCATGCTTCGATAATCCGTTTGACAAGTAGAGCAATGTTCTGGTCCCTAGGATCCAGGAGGCCTAAGCCCCCTTGATTTATCGGCTCACACACCACATTCCACGCCACTTTATAGATGAATCCTTGATGTTCAGTAGCAGCCGACTTCCACAAGTACGGTGCCGCAACCCTTTTAATAGACAAGTAGGCCGTATGTCTCAGGTAATGCACAGATAAAGGAAACCAAACGATTGAAAGGGCAGCTGAGGTAAGCACGAGTGCCCAACCAAAATAGATAACTTGTGGTTTCTTACCCACCATAAAATCCTTGCACATACTTTATCCTGCAGAATCTTGTCTTGAAACTGAGCACGGATTTACAGTGAAGCTTGTACCCCCACGAGTTGCTCTGAACTTTCCGGTGGGACCTCTCTCAAGCCCCAGTTTGCCTTGAATGTGAAAGGAGGGGGGAGCAAATAGATTGATTTATCCCAGTTTATAGATGCCTCCAACAAAATACAATATTCATCTAGTACGGTTCTTAGTTCGTTAAGGGATTGAGTGTTCTCACATGCAACTGAGAGGTCATCCGTGATAGCCCCCCCCTCCAGTGTATGGAGGGGGGGAGATCTAACCCTCTAAGACTTATTACTGAGTTAAATTTAATATTATTTAATAGAACCTCTAACTGCAAAACAAACAGAAGGGGGGCTAATTGGCAACCCTGGCGTAAAGAGCGGAAGAGCTTAAACTCCTCAGACAACCTTCCATTGACCAGTGCTACTGATAGAGCTTCCGAGTACATCGCCTTTACGTACTGGAGAAATACGGGCCGAAACCCATCCGGTTCAACGTGGTAAAAACAAACGACCAGCCCACTTTATCGTACACCTTCTCCATATCAAGGAGAAGGACCGCAATTTCTTTTTTTTCAGATGTGATGATCTCCAGGGCTTTCAGGGTAGTCATACTATTATCGAAGATAGTGCGCCCTTTTACAAATGCCCCTTGCTCCGGGCCTTCTAAAAAAGGTAAGTGTTCGGCCAGCCTGATGGGCTGGGCCTTGGTTAAAATCTTAGAGGCCACATTCAAAATAGAGATCGGTCTGTAATTCATAACTTCTGATTTATTACCTTTCTTATAAAGAAAGGAGATATAGCATTTTTAAAACCTTGTCGGAAGTGAGACCCTATTTCTTACGTTATTGTGTACATACGTTAGAAAAAGGCCAAAGGCTTTCCAACATTCCACATACAATTTTACTTGGAGGTCATTTAGGCCAGGACACTTGGCGGGTGCCATTTGTTTGACTGCCTTCCCCACCTCTTCGATCGAGAAGGTTTTATCAAGTGCTTGTGCCATTTGTGGGGAGCGCCTTACCCTGGTTCTTTCCCAAAATACGTTGGTGATAGACAAGTCTGTATTGCAGTTGTCAAAGGGCCGTCTCGTAGTGACTATGTTGCTAAAGTACTCAAAGGCATATGAGCACATTGTCTCCATGTCTGTTGCCCGCGGAGCGTGTATCGCAAAATGATGAGTCAATTCACTGATTAGGGATGTAGATTGTCTGAGGAGCAGAGAGCGGAACAATAATTTAGTCATCTTGTCGTACCCTATGATTCCCTGATTTTCAGCCAGTCCGGACATTCGGCTTCCCTCTTAACTTCTAATTTTTTTAATTCTAAAATTGTCACGTTTCTTCTTTCAGACCAATAATATTCAAAAAAGGGTTCCCCTCCCATCTTTCTTTCTGCCAAGTCGATTTTGTTTTTCAGTTGTTTTTCCTTCCACGAGCGAAAGACAGCCTTCATTTTGGAAAAATTCAATAGTTGCTGATCTGACAACATAAAAATTCCCATGAGAAATGAAAGTTGAAAAAGCATTCCATAAAAAAAAAATCCTTCATATTTATAAATTATCATTCCAATGTTTGTTCAATTCTAAAATTTTCAGTTTTATTTGATAAGTTCCTGTCTAAATATGAGTTTTCCCTTCCAACTACATCTATTTGTTCAAGATGGAATGAAAGTCTGGATGATTTTATGAAATGTTTTAATTAAATTTTCATTCTACTACAACAAATATCTTCTAATTTAGATTGGATTAACCTATTTATGACTGAAATCCTTACTTAGAATGACAGTCCAATTAAACTATTTCATGAACTCATCCAGACTTTCATTCCATCTCTAACATGCAGTCCAAATAAGAAGGGATACCCTATTCTTGGAATGAAAGTTTGCAAGTAAGATGAAAATTTTTAAAATTGGAATGAAATTTTTTAAGATGGAATGAAAATTTAAAATTTAAATTGTAATTTTACTATAGAATGATTATTTAATTCCAAGAAATTTTTCCGTTGGACAATGTTAATCCCTACTTCGGCCCGCTCGAGTTGGTCCTCAAACAAGTCTTTTGCATTTTCTCAACTCTTCATTTGGTCTCTTACCCACATTTTTATCCCCTCATCTGTTAGAAGATTGATATTTAATCCAAATGGGGACCTTTCTTTTTCAATCATGTCTACAGCAATAACGTCCATGAGGATTGGGCGATGGTAAGACAGGGAAGCATACTGAACGTTAGACCAACGACTTTTTTCCCAAGGGGACCCTCTTGCTAAGATAAAGTCCAGGCAGTTGCGGGGAGCTGAAGTTCTTTTAGATGGTCTTGCGTCGTACCATGAGAACCCATTTGCGTTTGGATTCAAGATCCGAAACACATCCGTAAGTTCCTGAGAGTCTATAAATTCAGAAAGAATCTCAACATTTGTACGGGCCGGGTGTCTGGACAAAGAATCTAGACCTGTTATGAGGATTGTGTTAAGATCCCCTAAAATTATTAAATTCTCAGTGTCCGGTACAAACATTGGTAGGTTTGCCAGAAAGTCGACTCTCTGGTCGAGTTCAACCGGGGCGTAAACGGATATCACCGCCCATTTTTCCTTCTCGAGTTCTTATCTATCAATACCGCTACCCCCCCACTGGTCCCTACAACGACCATTTCACAAAAAATGATATTTTTTATTTTTCGAATGAAATTCAAACCGAGTTTTTTGGCAAAAAACTCGTAAAAATTTGTTGTTCCTAAGCGTCCAGCGTTTGTAAAACGCTGGACCCTCTAGATGTACATGGCCCTTGCTTGACACCAGGTACCTCCCGGCAGAGGGTTCAACGTCTTACAAACGCTGAACCCCCTGACTGTACATGGGCCTAGCTTGATACTTGGCACCTCCAGGCACGACTGCCTGGAGGTAACTGGTCTCAAGCTAGGGCCATGTACAGCCAGGGGGTCCAGCGTTTTACAAACGTCGAACCCTTAAGAACAACAAATTTTGACGACTTTTCGGCCAAAAAACTCGGTTTCAATTTCGTTCAAAAAATAAAAGATGCCCATTTTGACGAAATGGCAGTTCTACCGCGGTAGCCCATACCTGAGGGTCATCCCAAAAGGCGGCCGCTTCCCTAATTTTATCACTGTTTAATTTAGTTTCTTGCAGACCCAGGATTTGCACATTAGAGGAGTGAATCTTCGAAGTTCAACGAAGTCGTGATCTTTTGTGTCTACGAGTCGTTTCTCATAAACCATGTATATTCCAGGAGGCTATACGTAATTAGGCGGTTGGACCATCTGGTCTGGACCCGCCGTCTTGTTGGATACGACTAGCGGTGTTTAGTGTGAGGTCACAGTCAGACAGTTCCTAATTTTCTCCCCTTGATGGAGATTTCCATTCCCATTCTGAACTGTCGCTTGCAAACATGAGATATTGTCACTTGACAATCTTTCCTTGATCCCCAGCCGTTTGACCCAGTCTGAGATCAGCGAGCCCTGTCTCCTTGCAGGAAGATGGAGAGCCGAAGCTCTGTCCGTCCGATTAAACAGCAAAACCTGCAGGGGAAACCAATGGACTTGTGGATCACACCATTTTTCAAAGGAATCGGTGATCGATTTAAGTCCCAGTAGGTGAAATATAAAAAAATGTTGATGACCCTTCTTCCGTCAATGACATATATTGATTTAGTTTGAATGTGGGTAGAGGACTCACTGATCCTCTGTGATGCAAGACATGCCTTTTCGTCAATCATGATTCGGCCACTTCCTCCTCGGTAGGGGTCGAGTTCACTGGGATTCCTGGAATCTCTAAGGCCTCACTATCGGCAAGGCGTGTAAGCACAAACGTGCCGTTAGGTGAAACTTTCGAGCAGATTAGAGGGACTGGGCATTTCTTTACCGCGCCCTTTGACCTGTCTATTTTAGATAAAAGTTTCATTGGAGCCGCATGAGAGAGTTACTTACAAGTTGTTCTATATATATGACTTCGCTTTCGACTCTCGTTTTGGGTCTTCTAAGCTAACTCTGGTGAAGTTTCGATTAAGTCTTCCCAGGCCATTCCGATACGTGATGCATCGTTCCTTTTGGTCTTTTTGGAAGGAGAACCCCTTAATATTGTGTTATGGTGAATTGAATCCCTTACTGGCCAACTTACAGTGTTTTGCATTATGAATAGTCATGAGACTTCTGAGGAGGGCTCTGGCGTATATTTCTTTCTATCATCCAACTCTTACCTCTCCTCAGGTTTCCCCGCCGGAAGTCCTGGATCGATTTTACCCACAACGAAGGTATCGTTACAATATACCTTAAAATTTCCTGGCGATTTCCCAATTGAGAAGGCTAGAAAGTTCTCATTCGGTCCTGGTTCATTTTGAGTATTCCTCGGATGAACATCTGATTCGTTAGGTTGCTGTAGTGTCTCTCCTACTATTCATAGCAAGTCGTCCTCCGAGTCTTGCATGTCATCTTGAGAGTCTTTCCTTAGTTCTTCATCTGACCATTCTTCGTCTGAGTCCTCACATGTTTCCTTTGGATCTTCCTCTGAGTGCGTGACCTCGTTTGGTCGGTCGGCATTAGTGACAACCTCTTCCAACACCACCTTCGGGTGAGTGTGGCGAGAGGTTTCTGTCCTATCCTCCCCTGCCACTTTTTCCCCTGTCTCCACGAAGGATTCCTTCTCCCTTCCCCCCTTCGCCGTCCCTTCCCATCTTCGCCTCCCTTTTCTCTCCCTTTATCCTTTCCATCCATATTATTATAGTCGCCACCTTCCCTTTCCTTTTCCTTGTCCTTATTTGATCCCTCCTCTTCTCCCCTCGATTCAACCCCTTTTTGGGGTTTCTCCTCCATTACTCTTTTCTCTTGTGATCCGACTTTTTCTTCCTCTTTCTCCTCTTCTTCCTCCTCCATCTTTCCATCTCCTCTGCCTTCAACTGTTCCCAATTCTTTGTGTCCTTTGTCTTTCTCTTCTTGGACTTTATCTTCTTCCTCTTCCTCTTCCTTCGTTTCCTCTTTCTCAGACTCCTCTTCTCTTTCTTCCGCCATAGCGTCATCCAAGCTTTCCTCATTTTCCCCATCGTCCTCTCCCTCTGATCCTTTCTCCCTTCCTTCCGTCTTTTCTTCTGCCATGTCCTCGTCTGAGTCCCCCTCCCCCTTTTCCTCTTTTTCCTCCTTGGTTTCTTCCTTGTCCCACTTTTCGGATCCTCCCTCTTCGTATTCCCCTTTCCCCTCTTGACGCTCATTCCTTACGTCATTTTGGGGTCGTCGGCCCTCTTTGACTACTCATCGGTATGTTCGTTCTTTCCATACCACGATTTCCTTCCCTTTTGAAGCCCGCGTGGGCGCCTTAAGATTCTCAGCCCCAGACTTTCCTTTCAAACTCCCTCGGGCCTTGTTCCTTCCCTCCTCCTTATCTGATCCAGCATCGTGTCCATGTGCATTCTTGTTGAGTTCCTTCCCTTTGTCCTTCCTCCCCTCGTCTTTTCCCTTTTCCTTTCCCTTCTCCATGTCATTGTTGTTTGACTTTCTCTGTGACAGTGCAGGATTCTCATTCCTGCCATGGTCATTTGACCCTTATGACGCATTCTCACCGAACAATCAGGATCTCCTACATAATGGTAAGATCTTCTGCAATCGACGCACCATGGTGTTTCCGCATTAATGACTTCGATTTCGGTGTAGCCATGTTCCACAAAATCCGCTAATAGACATGGCTTAGCCCGAAGTCTCGCGGACGACACTAGGTCAAAATGTATATTATGGAGTTCCGGGGAGCCCGGTTCGTTAAATATCGGGTGCGTTTTTAGAATTTGTTCGAATGCCTCGTCTACAACCGTTTCCAACTGGGGAAGGGTCCAGATGGGGACCTGGGGGCCCTTATCCAGAAGAAATTAAAGTGCATCGCCTCCCTCCATTCATGGAGTTGGTTTTCATTCATCCATGGTTGAAACTTGGAAGGTTACCGAGCAGAGCTTCTCGTCCAAAATAAAATTTTCCCGCCTCTTAAGAAACATGAACGAGGTCACCTAGCTAGAAGCAGAAACGTAGATAATCAAATTTCTGCATTCATTATGGAATAGTCCCCTTTTGGGGACTGCGTTAATTTGTGGGTTTGTTACCCACCCATCCTCATGAATACGGACAAGGTAGGGAAGTCGTATCGTCTCCGAAAAGGATTATTACCGCATGCTCTTTGAGCCACTTAACTTGAATTCTGAGGACTTCAGGATTAATAGTAACTTTGACATAGTCCTCCCCAACCTCACCCGTGTTGGTGGCTAATAGCTTTGGTAGGACACCATCAGAGTAGCATGAGCTCATAATACCCCGTATCCTCTGTTTATCTGATTCGGACATCGGGGAGGAGGAGTTCGGGGTAGAGGGGGGGGCGGGGGTGGTTATGATGAGGACACTCCATTGGCTTCCGCCATAAAGGACCCAAGAAAACGACCGCCCTTCCCTTTCCGCGCTCAATATTCTACATAGTTTAATAATTAGCAATATTAACTAACGATCTATCCTAAACGACAAAATCAACCAACTGTAAGAAGACTTCCAAAATAGGAGGCATATATAAACCGGGAATACAACTATTTCTCCCCCATACGCTAGATCATGAGTTTTAGGGACAAGCAGATTATACCTCCCTCTTCAAATACCAGCTCCTACGACCCACTAGTGGTCTTGGGCTCGAAGACGAACGCTGTCCTCCATAAGTTTGCTGGGCTAAGATGCTTCGTCGGAATTACCTCTACACGCCTCCCATGATGGTGATGATGATATCCTCCCTCACCGAAAGGTCTTTGGGAGAGTCTGAACCACGTCTTCACCAGTGGGAGTAGAAAGAGAAGAAGAAGAAGGTCGGAATCTCCCTGCCCCCTGATATTCCGCAGGGGGAAACGTCATAACAAAATACCATGCAGGAGATGTCAAGTGCCTTGAAAATGCTGAGGATGACGCCTTACCTCCCGCCCTAACCCCAAGGTAGCTCACTACTACCGGTTGCTAACGTCGAGTCACAACGCAACTCCAAATAGCGCTCCTTGGGACCGAGCGGTTTCCGACCTCTCCCCTCTCCACTTTCTGTAGAAGATGCAGCCCACTTAGCGCGTTTCATTTTCTTCTTTCTTTTTTTCTGTTTTTTTGGTCTTCCGACATATGTTTCCATGTCATTGCGGAAGAATCATTCTCATTTTCTATATTGGGTTAGTACTGAGTGAGGCTCGTGATACTGTTGCTTGGTTTTTATTTTGTCCTCCCTGGTCAAACGCTTTTTATTTTATTTTTTGCTTTTTTTTAGGGGGGGATGGGGAAGGTTGCGGGCCCTTGCGGCGTATGTTTCCATGTCCTCGAGGTAGATTCGTTCTCGTTTTGTGCATCGGGTGAGTAATGAGTGAGGCCCGCGGTACTGTTGTTTCGTTTTTGTTTTGTTCTTGCGTGTTAGGTGCGTTTCATTTTCTTCTTTTCTTATGTCATTTTGCCGCGCTTTCTTTTCACCGACGTTTTATTTTCTCATACTATTTCCTCCCCCCCCCCCCCCCCCCCCCCCCTTCCTCTCATTGGCAACGACAACCGTATTCCTTTGGCTTGCCCCCCCCCACTATTGGGAACAGGCCGCAAACAGTACGACCTATATGTTTGAAGTTTTTCATTTCTCTTAGTTCTTTTTTTAAAGCACTACAATCATTGTAATGAGTCTAATGACGTCATCATTTCTCTTTATTATTATTTTTTTCAAACAGTGCGTGTATGCTCATACATTTTTTCAAATGAGAAATACACTTTTCACTGGGATTTTGCAACACCATCTACACCGACAACGAAAGGGCGATGGAGAGATTTGAAGACACAAATGCAAGAAAAATGAGCAATAGCGAGATGACAATATACCGATTGCACAAACATATTGAAAGCCAGATTGTATCACAGTGTTAAAAAAACAGCATTGCACCAATATGACACCAATGAAGAATCGTGGCACTGAAAACCAATGTCAATGAGAGCTTGCTCTCGCCACCACCAACATATGTATCTAGTTACTATCCCCCTACTTAGCGCTCGGTGCCCAGCCTACTCCCTACACAGCTACTACTAGCCTACTAATGGACAATGCAACTGTTGGCGTCAGCAGCCTCCCCGCCCCATACAGACCATCGCCAATACCAGGTATGTGCCCTCACATCATCATGATCATCATCATCCTTCTCTAAGTTCTCTTTCTCCCTCGTCTTACTCCCACGTCTTCCCTCTTGTACACCCGAAGACCACCCCTGCGCCTCACTGTACATCCAAGCCCTTAGCCAGCTATGGAGGTCAGGCTATAGCGCTGCCCTTCAAGACCGCACACGCTTGCACCTCGCCTCTCAGTGCCAAGAACAGCCCACGAGTGTCCGCTCCAGCAGCGCTGCCCCTAGCATGCGAGTGCCTGTATGAGCTGCAAGGCAGCGAGTTCTTTCCTATATGGAAAAAAGTTGTCCTGCCTTCGCAGCCTGGCCAGCCTGGCCTGGGCCCAGAAGCTTCCAGTAGGCCCCAGGATGCTGCGCCTCTGGTGAAGCTACTAGGCCTCATTTGGTTGGGCCTCCCAACTGTCTGTGTATGCGGATGCGAATCTTGCCCATGGCCTGTGCCTTCGGAAGGGCCTAGAAGGCCTGGGAAATTTCCACGCTGCTCGGCCTGTGTTTTCCTTCAACCAACTGACACGGCGAAACTGCCTGGACCCCAAATATGAATTTGACAACTTAGGGCCTCTTGGGATTTGTTAGGCCCACCTTCACTTAGGGCAGACACATTTGCAGCAGGGCCCCCGTTAGACCTGCCAAGGACTCAAATCCTCGCATTCTCGCCTCCTTTTCTTTGATAGTCCTCTGAGAAATCCTTATGTAACAGGTTGCTTCCCTTTCAGCTTTCTCTTGTAACTTGAGATAATTTTGGGAGCAGTCTTCATTAATTCCTCTCTTGCGAACCACCGGTCTTCTTGAGGATCAATATAATGTCTGAACCGCACACGGTATTGCATCTGTGGCTTTGGTGGTCGGCCCCTTCCTGGAGGTTTGGGCACAGGCATCAGCTTGTGCTCGACGATATCGTCAATGTCCACGTGTCCATCCATGGTTGGGGGCAGCATTGATCTCATGGAGGGAAACTGATCTTGGTAGCGAAAGATGCCAAGTTGGATGCATGGAAAACAGGGTAAGTACGCAGGTATGCAGGAATGCGAATCACACATGAAAGCCCATCCGGTTGCTGTGTAACCGGCTGAACGTGCGTTCACGTTCAAACGCGCGCGTTCATACCCCCCGGGGCCGCGTTCAATCGCGTTTAAACGTGCTGCGCACCACGTGCCGCGAAAAAATTGAACGCGATCCCAGGGGGCGCGCGCGCACGTTACAGACTACGAGGTGGTGGGCCTCGTTCAAGGAAACCAGATAGTGCAACCCCCCCCCGAAGGCCTACCCCCCCTACCACGTCACCCCCCACCATATGTGAAAGGTCCTTTTTTTGGGGGGGGGCGGGCGGGGGAATCCCCCTAACACGACTTAGACAGCCCATGCAGGCTATCTGAAGGGTCCTCGTAGCCATGTAGCGCAGACCCGCCCATCAAAATCAAGGCAGGCAGTGAGTATGAAGAAGAGCTCAAGCTGGCCGAATATATACTAAAGATTCGACTTCAGGTCTGTATTTCAACAGTTATGGGTTGCTCACGTAGCTAGGGCCCGCTGGTCTCTGCACGTGACTGTTAGGGCTTGGCTGCACTACTCACCAAATGTGCAAGACTAGAATGAATCTTCTGCAGAACATGGAATAATACGGCGCCATATGTTTTGTCTTTTGTTCATGTGGTGGGTAGAGGCCCTTAGGGCCACTACACGTATTCCTAAGAAAAGAAAAACCAAAAAAAAAGAAAAACGAGAAAAAAGAAAAATGAGAGAAAAAAAAAACGAGAAAAAAAAAAAAAAGAAAAAAAACAAAACATAAGGAGAAAACAAAGAATTAGTGACCCATAATTGTGATGCACAGACCTGAATTCGAATCCAGACTATATATTCTCGACCCTGTCTCTTATACACATCTAGATGTGTATAAGAGACAGCAGTACGACCTATATGTTTGAAGTTTTTCATTTCTCTTAGTTCTTTTTTTAAAGCACTACAATCATTGTAATGAGTCTAATGACGTCATCATTTC